TGGGTTTTGAAGATTTTGCACGTGAAGTCCGTGTGGGAGGGGAAACAGCGCGATGAAAAGGAGGTTGCGGGTGGTGATGAAACTCAAACCAATTACGATGAGGAGGAACTGTGTGAATGTGATGCTTGCGGGGTTGAGGATGATGACGTTGACGGTGAAGTTGATGCAGACGAGGCGCAATTCGATAGAAGCTCGTTTTCCAGAATGCTTCGGAGGGTATCGCTAGCCGATGCTAGATTGTACGCTCAGATGTCACACTTAGGGAACTTGGCTTACGATATACCTAAAATCAAGGTGCATGACTTTAGATCTTTCTTTTGTTTCCTGTTTTCAACTTTGGTAAATTGTAGGTTTATGTCTGATTCGTAGATTTTTAGACCTCAGATCTATCTTGTATTATCTTACCTGGATCTAACAGACATTGCTTGGTTGAAGATTCTTTGTGTTATGATTTCTCTAACTTTTCAAAATCCCATGGAAAGTTTTAGTTTAAACTTCACGAAGCACTAATGTGTAATGGAAGTGCCTTGTTACGATGCATCTTTTATTTAGCTATGGATCACTTGTTATTTGTGTGATCTGATTGATCATTGCTGTTGGGCGTATGGTTCTGCGAGGAGAGATGTTGATGGGGCTTTGTTATTTTACCATATACTGAATATTAAATACCATTTACTCTGTTATTAGTTTTTATTAAAATGACTTGTCCTGAAATTGATTGATAACTCTACGAATTTGATTTTTCAGAAAACGAGTATAAAACACTAATTTATATTTTGGCTTTGATAATTTAGCCAGGGAAACTCTTAAAACATTATGGTCTGCGCTTTGTAACTTCATCAATAGAAAAGAAGGAATTGACAGCAACAGCTGAAAAAGATACCCAGAAAGTTCAAACTGATGAGAAGGAAGAAAAAGAAAAACAAAAAGAAGAAGAAAAACGAAAGGATCTGAAGAGCAGTGGATACAAGATAAGTGCAAGTGCTGCTTATAATATTGCCGCATCTGCTGCCACTTATCTGCATTCTCAGACTAGGAGCATATTTCCAGTCAAATCCTCAAGTACTGTGACTGGTGAAGCTGCACTTGATGGAAGCAATGAAAGCCTAGACGGTAACATGACAAACACAGAGGTGGCATCTTTGATGGCGACAACTGATTCAGTGACAGCAGTGGTTGCGGCAAAGGAAGAAGTAAAGCAGGCTGTTGCTGACGATTTAAACTCTGTACATTCATCACCATGCGAATGGTTTGTCTGTGATGATGACCAGAGTGGTGCAAGATTTTTTGTTATTCAGGTAGGAAAAGTAATCGAGGACATGTTATTGCTTTTTGCACTATAATTGTATTTCTTGGTTGCAGATTTGAAAGTTTGCCGTAATTTGTGAGAATTCTTTGAGCTTAAATATGATAAAATCATTATTATTGGGGTTCCCAATATTTATCTGCATTATATAGCTGATTATATTTTAGAGTATCTGTAATTTCCCTGTCAATCTCGGACTTATGGAGTGTTCTTTCTCACTATTTTATTTTTAATAAACATGTAGGGTTCAGAGACAATGGCTTCTTGGCAAGCAAACCTGCTTTTTGAACCGATTAAATTTGAGGTAATTGTCAATATTGCAGACTGCCATTCTTCTTTTCAGAGGGGGATTTTAATTTTTTAATGGTTATAAATAAATACTTTTGAATATTTGTGAATGTGGGCTTCTAACTATATGTCCTGAAATTGACATAATGAGACATATTTTTTCCCAGGGATTAGATGTCCTCGTGCACAGAGGAATATATGAGGCTGCTAAAGGGATGTATCAGCAGATGTTGCCAGAAGTACATGCTCACCTAAAATCTCGAGGTTCTCGTGCAACTTTTCGTTTCACTGGGCATTCTCTTGGTGGAAGCTTGGCATTGCTTGTGAATCTCATGCTGTTGATTAGGCAGGAAGTGCCTGTCTCTTCTCTACTTCCTGTGGTAACATTTGGTTCCCCATCCATCATGTGTGGAGGGGATAGTCTACTAGAAAAATTAGGTTTGCCTAGGAGTCATGTTCAAGCAATTACAATGCACAGAGACATAGTACCTCGAGCATTTTCTTGCAATTACCCTAACCATGTTGCAGAGCTATTGAAGGCTGTCAATGGGAACTTCCGTAGTCATCCTTGTCTCAATAAACAGGTAAATTTTTGGTTATCCAAATATTTTAAGGTGATAAATAATTTTCTTTTATATAAAATCCGACTGACTTCTTTGTGAATTTTTACTGCAGAAACTACTATATACACCAATGGGTAATCTGCTGATTCTGCAGCCAGATGAGAAGTTTTCACCAGGCCATCATCTCCTGCCGTCAGGCAGTGGTCTATATCTTTTGTGCTGTCCTTTGTCTGAATCCAACGAAGCAGACAAACAGCTCCGAGCTGCTCAGATGGTGTTCATGAACTCACCTCATCCACTTGAGATATTAAGTGATCGATCTGCTTATGGATCTGGAGGAAGTATACAAAGAGATCATGACATGAATTCCTACTTAAAGTCTGTGAGAACTGTGATTCGCCAGGAACTTAGCCAGATCCGTAAGGCTAAGAGAGAGCAACGGCGCAAGGTATGGTGGCCTCTTGTGTTACCACGTGGAATGGATACCAGCATTGTCGCTGGGAGGTCCATGATATCCATCAATGTAGGTCAACGCCAGTTACCCTTCTCTGGCGTGATACAAACTGGGAGAGAGTCCCTGAAAAGATTCAGTAGGCTTGTTACATCCCAACATATGCATCTGTTTGTGTTGCTCTTGTTCCCTTCTCGGTTGTTACTCTTGGGAACATACAGCCTAATTAGCCTTAAATGAATACAATTATTAATCATGGGGACAATTGTATAGGGCGAGGGCACATGCTTATTAATGGGACATTAGACACTTGGATGATTCTTTATTCATTGATTTCAAAATTGAAATATTGTTTTCGTATGAGTCCTTGCTTGTATTGTAGAGGAATATTACTGAAATATTAATTAGTATTTATAAATTTAATTGCTTTTGCTTCCAAGTTATGTTTATATTGGTCACATACTTTTATGAAATGAGGCTTCTTGAGTGTTTGGTTGGACTAAAAAATATAGGTTAAGAATTATGTAAGTATTTCTCCAATTCTGGCAGTTGATGTCGCAATCGAGGGAAATAGAAAATTAGTTGGCCTGCCCTTTGTATGAAAGATATTAAACTGGTCATTGGTGGACCACCATTATAGCTGAATCTCATCGATAAACGTGTAGATAAAGCAATAATGTGTTAGCACGTACCGGAAGATATTACTCGTGTTACGTGAGTATTCCAAAAATGTGCAGGTAGTTGTAACTTGAAAATGTGAAAGATGAAATAGTTGCTTTGCAAGATAGGTGGACAAGGAAAGACAGTGCCAATTCATGAAAAGGAGTCAGATTCTGTTGTTTCATTTCGATGTCTAGTTTACGCACATGAGAATTCACATGCCAAACCAAAAATAGCCGACAAAATTTGGAACCAGATTCTTTCGTCTACTCAACAAGTTCTAGTCTGCATTATACGGCTGGTGATTTTCACTCTCAAACAAAAATGAAATAGTCCACACCACCCAGTCCAAGTGGCTCCATCGTCTATCCATCCAACAAAGCAAAATTGTGTCCCTATTATACGTCTTGGACCTCAATTTTCACAATTTTCTCGCTTTCCGCGGCATTACTCAACTACACGTCGATTTTGGATATGGTTAAACAAACCCATTTTCCTTCTCATCATTTTGTTTTGGTACCAAGCGAGCGGTGAACAAAAATATTCGGAATTGGCTTAGAAAAATAGAATACAACTCCCAATAGAAGGTCGAGTCGAGAGCAATAACCGATCAAACTCTTCTAAAAATTCATCTTAATAGTAACTCGCGGATCCAGAGCATAGTGGATAAGTATGTATTATCACAACATTTTTCCTTGTTCCTGTTGATTGATGCGGATCATGGGTCACACTACGCACTCCTTATCAGTTGCAAGGATCCTTAAATATCAATGTCTGTTGAATATTTTTATTCCTGCGGTCAAGCAACTAGTTGTAAAGATTCTAAGTATTCATGATGTCATTGGTTTGTTTGTTGTCCAAAGCTGCCTATGGAGATAATTTATCTTCATCCCCATCATAATAAATGATAGTATCAAAATTGATAAAGTAAATATAATTTTTTGTATGACTTAGAAAATTAGTAAAAATACATAAATATTATTAACTTGTATAATATTTTTTCAACATTTATATTTCGAATAATGTATATTGTTTGACGACGAAAATTCTTTACACATGGTATTCACTTTGAATTCAACTCTGTTCGTTACAGAAAATTCAAATTAAACCCTAAAAAAAGTAAATTTAATTCAATAATTTTATCTATTTTAAATAAATCAAATGCAATAAATGTTCCCACTTAATACTTTCTCATATTTCTATTCTAAAAATAATAATTATATTCCCATCACATCTTATTCCTTCCCATTTTCTTCTTCTTTAATTATAATCAAACAAACAGAAGGTTAATTACATTACAAATAGGTTAGAATTAAGCAGGCGAGAAGTTGAAAAGGAACATTTTAATACGAAAAAGAAAATGCGACTATGAATTGATAATTACTGCAAATCCTCCTCATTTTATAATTATCCTTTCTTTAGCAGGCACTGAATGAGTTCTTCTCATTCATTGCTTTCACCGACTTAAATCCTCCCTCTTTGTCATCTTGGAATTTTTTCTTTTCTATAAATTTGCTTTCAAGTATATTAGTAAAAATAGGAGATATAGAATAGTAATTGCCTAATAAAGCAACCCAAACTTGTATGGGCTCAGCCCAAATGTATATGGAGCAGATGAGCCCAGTGAGAGGCGAACGAGCAAGCACATCAAGTGCCCTTTCGGTATCTCGCGTCGCAACCAAAACAAACGCTTCTCATTCTCTACTCTTCTGTTCTGCTTCTTCTTCTAAAGATGTTTCTCACAAGGTGAATTCCTCACTTTTGCGGCAAAATTGCATTTCAGTTTGCTTCATTTAATGGATGAATGGGTTAGGGTTTTTTTCCTGTTTGTTTAATTGTATATCGCGTGAGTGACATAGGACTGAGTATGACCGAGGAGTCAACACCTTTTCTCCCGAAGGCCGTTTGTTTCAGGTTGAATATGCAATCGAAGCAATCAAGGTTTGTCGCTTCTGCTCCATCTGTCACAAAATAAGGGTTTACAGATTCTCTTATTGTTTGTTTTCGTAAATGGGTTTATATTGGATTGCAGCTGGGATCGACTGCGATTGGGTTGAAGACCAAGGAGGGTGTTGTCCTTGCAGTTGAAAAGCGCATCACTTCTCCTCTGCTGGTTCGTTTATTAACCTTTATTTATGTTACTGGGTTTTTATTATCTTACTCTGACATTTTTACACATAATGTGCTATTAATTAGTAACTATCATATACAATATCACGGAATTAAGTAAGACACGCATAAATTTGCTTCACATAAGTCGAATTTTGGGGGTAAGCTGTTGGTCTTTTGGTGTACTTCTGAATTTGACAGTTCATGTTCACTTTAGATACAATTATTATATGTTTTGAGAACACATTCACATAACATTCGCTGTTTACCGTAATATTGTTTTATCCTTGTATTCTTCAGTTTTGTTTTGGGGTGAAATGAGATCCCTTTTTTGGATGGTGGTGGTGGGAAAAACTTAGATAATATATAATTAGGCTCTGCACTCGATAAACTTCTAGTCTCTACTCACATTGTAGCCGCATTTATAGTTTATATGGATTTTATTTGAGATAAAGACGCACAACTACCATGTAGTGGTTACTTTTGCTTTGCAGTGTCGTTGATTTCCTTGCATGTAATTCTCTTTCAGGAGCCTAGTAGTGTTGAGAAAATTATGGAAATTGATGACCACATAGGTTGTGCTATGAGTGGATTGATTGCTGATGCTCGAACACTTGTTGAGCATGCACGGGTGGAAACCCAGGTATTGTTAACCTTTTAGCATATATTAGGTAGCTGATTAGCTAATAATTTATATTCGGCTTACTGTTCCCAGAATCATAGGTTCTCCTATGGTGAGCCGATGACTGTTGAGTCCACTACTCAAGCTCTGTGTGATCTAGCCTTGCGTTTTGGTGAAGGTGATGAAGAATCCATGGTAAAGAGCTTCTCAGATTTGATATTCATGTCTATTATTTATGCTTCTGTTAGGAAAAATAATTTATGAGCATTTCTTGCAAATTTGCTTCTTATTTATGTATCTTCTAGATGTACTGATGCCTTATATTGCATTGGACATATCTTGATTGGTGATGTAAATAAGTGTTATTTACCTAAAAAAATTTGGTATGCACATAAATCCTTGTATACATCAACTATTGAATGTACACCATTTATCAGTAAATGTACAAATCCTATCGCAGTTTGGTTTAGTAGTATTTTGCCAATAAATCTTTTTCTTCTGTACAACATACTAAATGGTTAGGTTCCTATTGCAGTTGATCATGCATGTATTTTAACATGTGCCATTTCTTTTTCTCTTTGGCAGTCAAGACCATTTGGAGTATCTCTCCTCATTGCTGGACATGACGAGAATGGACCTTGCCTGTAAGTATTTCTTCTACCTATTATGCAATGGCTGCTTGTGAGTAGTGTGGAATGGAGTTATTCTTTTGGCTTGTTCTTCTGTGTTTAGTCAGTAATTGCGGTAAAAGTTTGTTTGTATGAAATTGAAATATTAATGATCATTTTAAATTTGTCATTAACCATGTTATATTATTCTTTTCTTTGGGGATTTGTGGAATTACAAAAATGGAACAACGCACAAAATTTATTTAAAAAGCAATTACAAATTTTACTTATTAACCAAAATAAAAGAGGGGTTAGTGAGTAGGCACTTATCAACTCGATTAACTGCTTTGGTGTTTTATGGTTTCTCTATCGAACATATTTTTGCTAAGAATTCCTTTTCTCTATTTTCTCTCTTTTTTCCCCTGGTTTCATGAGGACATGTCCTCTACTTTTATCACTTAAAGCCTTTTTTTCTACTGTGAGCCTGTTTGTTTAAGCTTAAAATAGTAATTTTAAGATTGTGATAAATGTAACTTTTTCTAGAGTGCGTTTTATAAGCTATTTGTAATAGTTTCTAAAATAACATGAAACCTGATCCTTTTCAGATTTATTTTTTAAAAAAACTTATGGTTTATATTGCTGCTGGTCTTTTTTCCATTCTTTTTCTTTTTGGACTTCTTATGCTTACTGAATTGATATGTTCCGATTATCAGATATTACACCGATCCATCTGGCACATTTTGGCAATGCAATGGAAAAGCCATTGGTTCTGGTTCTGAAGGTGCGGACAGTTCTCTCCAAGAACAATTCAACAAGGTATCAACAATTTAATATTGATTGTTTCTAAACCTTCTTTATAACAGTAAACTTATAGTTGACTAGGGTTGGAAAATGAAAAGAGTGAAAAGAAAAACTGAAATGAGGAGATTTCATTCTCATCACTCTTCACAGGACAGGTAGAGTAGAATGAAAACATGCTATACAATAATTACCTACCATTTTAAATAACGTATGAAAAGAATTAATATTATTCCAATAACATTTTTCATTTATCTGGAACCAAAAAAACTCAACTTTACCTTCTAAGAAGATAAACAAGACCAACCCAATGATCTGCAGAGTTGTTTTTATTTATTTTTTATTTAATCCTATTTTTATATCCCACTCTTACCCTGTAAGTATACTTCAGTTAACTAACTGTTCAGTTTACTTTGTTTCCCTTTTTCTTTTCTTCCTGTTTACATTACTACGAAGCATAATGTCTTTTTGTCTAACTTTAGGTTCGCCATCTTTGTATTATCTTGGAAAATGTTAATCTAGTCAAGTTTTTTTATACTTTGATTGTCAAATTAATGCAATGCCGTTATCAGCTTGTTCCTCAATTGTTGTCTATGCACTGCCAATGTTGCTCTGAAAGATTATCTCTCATGCTAGACTCTTCTTTTAGCTCATAGTGTTCTAAAAGTTAGTAGTCATTATTAATCGAAAATTATGCTGAAAATAGCATGCTGTAAGATGGGTTTAGAAAAAAAGTAATTTGGTGTCAATTTATTTTTTTGTGTGCAGGACCTAACCCTTCAAGAAGCCGAGACCATTGCTTTATCCATTTTGAAGCAAGTTATGGAAGAGAAGGTATGTTGTTGCCTTGTTACATTGTTCTGTGAATTGGACCCCCCACACCTCACCTCTGAATGGGATGGAAAATAAATTATCTTTTCCCTTGTATTTTCATATTAGGTCACTCCCAACAACGTTGACATTGCCAAGGTGGCTCCAACGTATCATCTTTATACCCCCTCTGAGGTGGAAGCTGTGATAAGTCGTCTATGATTTTCTTTTCGTGATTTTTTCTAATGTTAGTATTATTCGGTAACCTTTTTTCGTGGATGATGCTACATGTGGTGCTACACATGTGATCAAGTTGTACGTAGGAGATTCTGGGTTATATTTGCTGCATTCAGTATGGATGAAGTATAGAGGGTTAGAACTTTCAGTGATCCCGGATGAGGAATTACAAATTACAAAATATGCTATTAAAAGATTTATTTTTAACCCTTTCTTAATCCTTGATGTCATAGAAAATTGTCATCTCGGTCAAATATATCTGTCTTAAATACCGTTTGACGTTGGATAATTTAAAAAACTCGTATCGGGTTCTATTATAAAAATTTATAAGCTATTTTTGTTTACATATCAAAATATACTTACACCTTCGTCTTTTAGTTAAACAAACCTGTCTCCTAGAACTTGAGGTGAGAATAATATGTAAAGGGACGCTGTTGTTATACATGAATTTACTTCTTGCGTGGAAGAAGCTATGCATTGCTACATTATGAATAAAGAAAAGAAATTGATTTTAAGTGTTCTCATTAACTTGCTTGAGCATGTTTCGAAACTGATTTGGGCAGAATAAAGAGGCATACTAATTATATCTTCCAGAGCTAAATGCGCACATTTTATGGATACATCTCTTTATTCAGGTAGTTGTCTTCTCATGGACAATCGGGCTTCTGAAACAGTTTTATCAACAGCCCAACGCGTACAAGTTCTTATACAATATACAAGGCATCACAACCAAGCTCCTCTGGCCATTTTATTTGAAACATTATTTTCTTGTTTGGTCAACGGTTGTCAACCTAGTATTACTTCCCGTTTGCACAAGCATGTGCAAATGTTGAAGACGTGCACTACCTTGCACATTATTAACATGGCCCACACATCCTTTTCTACTAGGGAACGTTTAAGGTGTTTCCACCATGTTTTGAGACGGCCAGGTATCATGCTTACTTCTGGATTCGACCAGGAGTGGCAATTCAATCCATTCACTCAGTTAATACATTATTAACATATATAAATGATTTAACTATTTTATTTTGAATCTATACATTTAAATTCAAAATTAAACACCAACCACCCAAGTAGCCAAACAAAAGAAAAGTGAAGGAGTAGATACTTGTAAATTTTATTTATGTGAGGTAGGCTACATCAAGTTTCCATGGCAACCCATAAGATTCTCTTGGTCAAGTAATATGCAACTGTAGTACTCTGACAGTACATTTTTCATAAATTTGACAGACACTCATGACTTCTTTTACTTGACAATAGAACATGCAAGTGGTAGATAAAGATAACACTGGGATCCTCACTTATATTGCTCTTCAAACGGAGTTCATTTGTCTTTAACATAATAGAATTGGAAGCAGAAACTGAATCAAAGATCAATTTTACCAGCCAAGTACCAAGAGTGTATCGCTAGACTCCCAAAAGACATTATATTGGCAAGGGAGGATAATCCATGAATCATACCAAACTTCTTATTCATGGCTTTAAGCTTTGGGTTTGACTTTGCAACTTCCACATTTTTTGACCACCCAACTTCCTCCCCTATATTGTTTTCTCTCTCCACTTTATGCCTTTGCTTCATCATCTGCATCAGAACAACTAAATGGTCGGATTCAAAAACTATCAAATAGTAGAGTGAATTTTGGCAGCTTAACAACTTAATATGATGTCATGACTCAAATAGTAGTTAGAAGATATGTCTAAGACCTTTACTTCTATGCTGCCATTAATGTGACAGCTGAAAAAGAAGAAAGGTTAAAAGAAAAGAGAAAACCAAGGAGGAAAAGTGGAATATAACAGTAAATGTGTGAGAAGTAGAAGCAATACGAGGGATTACAAACCTCAACACATCATGAAATTTAATGATGATTATATAAAATGTGATGTTTAATTATGGAACAATTGCTCAATAAATAAATATACAAAAGCAAAAGTATAAATGTCCAAAATCCTCAAGTTCCCAAACAACAAATAGTGGAAAAACAGAAAGAGCTGGTAATCAGTGCACTGAAGTGACAATGAAGATAATATTAAAAGTCAGAATCAACATACTGACAATCAATTGAGCACAGTTATAGATCTTCCCTTTCAAATAAAAAATTGAAAAGAACTTCTAGATTTAAGGTAAGTGCGGCAGCCAACTTATCAAATTTAAGATGAAGAACACAACACAAGTCATTTTGAATGATTTGATTAGTATTCATTTAAGCCAAATGAAATATAAGCACAATGTTTTTTCTTGGATCGGCAAATATTAGTAATTAATATGTTAAATTTAGTTAGTTAGCAATAACTCGAACCCACTCCCACAACCTATTCTCCCTCCCTTCCACCTTTACCATCATGTCAACCTTATATACCCTAAATCATAAGAACAATTAACATTCTGACAAATGCTTGCCTTAATTTTGCAAGATTTTTCCTCAGCCTAGTTCATTTATAGGCACAATCAGAATTTACAAGATCCAAAAATGGAATTAAGCTTCTTTAACCACTGGCACTCTAGATTTAACATTTTTGGTGATAGATAAATCGTTGCAGGGGCATGAAATTTTGACAAGACACATCTTGACTTAGACAAATTGATTTTTCTAAGTATGCATATGAAAACACACACATACCAACACTTCGGTTTTTATCGATACATAACTAAGTGAAAGTTTATTATACCAATCAATCTGCCATTTGAAGTTTCCAGTTTCCAGTTCCAACACAAGGTAAGACATTTAACAATCCAACTCAGAAAATTGACTTCCATCCCTCTACTTCCAATACTCTGGTCATAGTTACTATTCAGGAGCAATATTTAAAGGCCTTGTTTGGTTTACTAGTGAGAACGATGAATCCATGCTAATTAAGCTTTTCTTTACCTCGATGGTCATAGGTGTGAAGACAAACAAGTTGGTAAGATTGAACGCAAAAGAAGAGAGCAAAAACCCAAGCTGGTATCTCTCAGTAGTGGAGGAAGTTTTCCACGGGTGAAGGTAGCCAAAGGAAGCCACCGATACGGCACAACACACACCCACCATTGAGAAATACGCCGGAAACATCTTGCTTTGCAGGTTCCCAAACTGATGCCGCGGCAGATTTCTGGAACACAGAATCCAACAAAGTCATAACCCCATTTCACAGCCACAACAAAGCATTCAACAATTCTCACATCGTCTAGTCATACGCTCAAAATAAAGTACATAAAAAAGCCCCAAGCCTCCTAAGGTGAAAATAGACCCAAACTCAAATTCTTAAGAATAATTGAGAAAAATAAATTAGGGGTGATAAATTTGCGCACTTAAACATGATGATGCCGCCGATGAAGGTGACCCATAGAGCAGCGCCGAACGCGGTGGAGAAGCTAAGAAGGTGAGCGAGTTTGAGGTAGGTGGAAAGAGTGGTTGATTTTGAACCCAGTGTCTCCGGTGAGAATATCACTCCGATGGCTAAGAAAGCCACGGCGGTGATGAAGCGACTAAGCCAACCCATGCAGCAGCGGAAGATGAAAGTGATTGAGCGAGAGAGTGAATAGTGAGTGTGGTTCTGCTTCTGCGAAGGGACCAGACCGGTGAACGAGGTTGTAGATGAGTTGAAGCAAAGAAGATGCTATTAAATCTTTCTACCTACAAAACCGAACCCAACCAACCGGCGCTCGTTGGAATGTACATCCGGTTTAATTGACTTCCCTTCGTTCTAGAATATTCGGCCCGGCCCAACTCTCTTTGGACTGAATGAGCCCATCTTGGGATTTCATTAATTCTTCATCATCCCGCCTCCAAAATCGAAACAGCTAGACAAATAAAAATTCCCTCGCTTTTTTTTTTTTAAATAAATATAAATAATAGTTACCATATCAAGTCTTCCTTCAGAAGTTTGTTTCTGATTCTGCTGCTGGTGTCTTCTGTTCCCGCTTCACATGATGGAAACGAGTTACTCATCGCGAGTGTTTCGCGGTGTTCATTTCGTTCTCCATGGCTTCAATCCCGTCGCCGAAAGCCAGGTTTCTTCTCTTTCTCCTTCTCTCTTTCGTTTACTAATAGGGTTTCTCTTCTGCCATGAAGGTTATTTTATTTATACCATGAATTGCTGCTTGTGATTGGTTAGATCCGGTTCAAGCTTGTGAATGGCGGTGGAATTGACGTTGGGGAGTACGGTGTGAGTTGCACGCATGTCATTGTCGATAAGATTGCTTATGTGAGTTCAATACAATTCGCTCTTTTCTTTAACCCTATCGTTGGCCTTCATTTTGAAGGGAGGGAGAATTACGTTCTGTTTGTGTAGGACGATCCTGTGTGTGTTGCTGCGAGAAATGATCGGAAGACGCTCGTCACTGCACTGTGGGTTGATCACAGTGCTGATATTGGAATGCCCGTTGATGCTGCTTCGGTTAGTTTGTTCTACCTTTCCCGTAATTGGGGTGCCTTTCTTTCTCATGAAATACTGAGTCCGCTTGAAGCAACTTATTTAGACTAATTTTATGGTATAAGAATTTACAGATTATGAAACTCTCTAATGCTTTGTCCTCTGGAATGGCATAAGAAAATGACTCGTAGCTTGTATGAAAATAATTAAGTTCAATTTCTTCTTTCAGTTTTCAAACAAGTTATATATAAAAATACTTGTAAGACAAACATTTATGTAATAACTATTTGATTCAGCTGTTTATCCAAATATTTACTTTCTATTTGATCGGTGTAGTAAACTCACCTCGGGGGAAAGACTTGGTTGGTCAAGCTTTATAAAAAATTTAGAAAGATAAGAAATTCAGACCATTAGCTGATTGGTTTTGATTACATTATGTTACCGATTTTTTTATCTTCTGAATCACTTTGAGAGCAAGTGGTTGGTTTTATTCTTGTTCTGCTTTTTTGTAGGATGAATTTGTAGTAATTTTACCCTTTAACTGAACAGATTGAGTTTTCCATTTGGCAGGTTATGTATAGACCTCCTAAAGACTTTAATGGAATACCAGGTGCGAAAGATTTGATAATGTGCTTGACTGGTTATCTACGCCAGGATCGGGATGACATTATGGTGAGCATATACTTTAACGTGTTAATTTATTCCAGGATTTTGTGCGCGTTGTTTTATGAAGTTACTTGAAAATTCACCTTATTTTCCCTCTTCAGACAATGGTTAGCCTGATGGGTGCACAGTTTTCTAAACCATTAGTGGCAAACAAGGTTACTCACCTCATATGCTATAAATTTGAAGGTTTGTCTCGTTTTCTTAAATCCTGGCATTCACTGTCAACTGCGTCTGTTTGCTATTTTAGTTCTCCTAATTGCTTTCTATTACAGATTATTCATGCTTATATTTAATTCGTTTTGTTTGTTAATTCTGTTTAATAATTCGACTGTCAATATAGGAGAAAAGTATGTGCTTGCCAAGAGATTGGGTACAATAAAGCTAGTTAATCATCGTTGGTTGGAAGATTGGTATGTATATCCTGTTAGCTTGACATGGATGTGAATGAATCTCATCTATTTGAGCCTTTTCATTTGACTTGTTGGAATCATATAAATTTTATGCTTCGTCAATTAAAGTTCTGTTTATTTTTTCAGCTTGAAGGAATGGATGCTTCTTCCCGAAGACAAATATAGCAAGAGGTTAGGCGTTGTTGCACTTATGTGCAAATATAATTTAAACCACATTTTTGTCCACATGCTGGCATGCAATGCAAATGTAGCATTTCATGTATCATGTTCACGGATACTGAGTGGGGGCAGTATTCTTCTCTCTACATATTTTTAACACTCTTTTATATTTGGAGCTTATCGAAAATAATGTCATTGCTCAAGAAAAAAGATAACTTGACTGTATTTCGGTGGAATGTATGAAGACATTTGCTTTACACAACATCGTAATGCGAATATGAATAATATACCTTGTGCTCATCACTTGTATTCTTTGGCATTCCTAGGTGATTTGCACACATGCACTCGCCATGTTCAAATAGTGTCAGAAAATATGGGGAATTTATAAAGTTGCACTTTAAACTAACCGGCATTGAGGCATATGGATGAATTACTGTAATAGTCATACAATATGAAAATTGAAAAGACAGTTTAGTGTAATAGGCATTTCAGCTTATAGTTGAAGATTTGTGATTAAATCACTTTTTCTTCCTAGTATGACTCTATTTTCTCTAAGATTTGAAAGATCTTATCTTTTCAACTAATTATGGAACCTTTATTTCTTTCAATAGTGGTTTTGAACTAGAGATGATGGAGGAAGAGGCTAAGGATTCTGAGGAAGAGCGCGTAGATTCTAAGCTGGGAAAATCAGCGGGGAGAAATCTAAAACAAAGCCCTCTTAGTTCAAAATTTGGTACAGCTGCAACTCATGGATCTTCGAGATCAGTAACAGAGGCATCAAACGCCTTACCAGATCTTACTGGTCCACGGGTTTTGCCAAATATCAATAATGGTGAAGACTCTTCGGCCACTACAGGAAACAAGAACAAATCTTATCAAGAACGGAGCTTTCCTAATGTTCATGACCCAACGATAAGCGATCAGACTCCTAATATTTCTAGATATTCTACATTACGTCAATCATCTGACAAATATATGAAGACAAATGAGTCTAAGAATGCTGATTTTCCAAAGGCACTTGACTCCCGGGATACTGGCAATATTGGAAATTCAAATCCATTTGGTCAGCAATTTGGTCTGCATGATAACGACATGGAGTCTAAGAAGTTTGCATCTGGAGTTGCACATTCAAATGAAAAGCCTAGCACTACAAGTTATTTTAGGAATAACCAAAGGGAATTTTCTCTCTCGAGGATCTTAGACGAAAGCTCAGGCAGAGAAAACAAATGTGAAAACAGTAAGGCTGACGGGGCAAGTGAGCTTATCAAATCTACCAGGGTTGAAAATTCTGGGAGACGAAATGATTTTACTGAAGAGGATGAACCAAGTAGTATATTGCCTCAAAAGAGGGCAAATGAATCTTCTTTTACAAAATTAAAATCAAGAAAGGTGCCTTCTAATTCAAAAATCTTCATCCAATCAGCAAATGGTAAATCTCAAGGATTAAAAGTGACATCTCAGGTTGATGAGCCACCCAAAGCTGATGACTATTTTTCTAAAGGCAAAGATGGCATAAATAACTCAAACACTTGCTTAGTTTTGGAACCTGTTGGTTCTACCTCTAATTCACTGGCATTTGATGAGCCTTTCTCCAGAAATGCTACCCCAGAATCTGCTCAGTGTGATAATGTCTGTCAGAATTGTCCACAAACGGCAGTTCAGAACTTAAGTGAGCCTAAAATCAATGGCAAGCCTGATGTCACAAGCTCTGGATTGCGACAAGTTAACGGTAATGAAGCAGGGAAACATAATGTCATTATAAATAATGGGTGTTCATCACTGGGAAACAAAAGCTCAAATAATGTGGAATCCGCTGGTTGTACTAACTTGGCTTTAAGCAATGAAGAATGTAATAAGCTGGTTAGGAAATCTCCCCGAAAGAAATCAGTTGCCATGAGAAATTCAGGTTCTAAACCTAAAGTAGGTGCCATTGCTAGAAATAAAACATCGCTTTGCTTGAATAAAACTACCCTGCAAGGTGAAGGTGTAACTCTATCCAGTGGAAGCAGAGAGATTGGTGATGCAAAGATTCATCAGGGATGTCCCCAAATCCGTAATATTAAGAAAACAATGGAGAAAGAAGCAGTTCGTAAAAATACAGTTGATCCCTGTGACAGAGCTGAGTTTTTGGAGGATGAAACCGAGGCTCCAGATGATAAATGTAAATTTGAGTTTGGAATGGCACTAAATGAAGAATCAGTTCATCTTTTGGAAAAGCCGAATAGAGCAAAAGAAGAGAAGTCAGAAGCAATTTGCCCTGCAACAAAAGTTGAAGAGGCAATGCCTCCTAAGAAAGGCACACATAAAACAGAAAATCAGAAAACGGCTTCACTAGTAGTAAAGTACCAAACAAGGAAACGTGCTGCCGGTAAAGCCAAGGCCACTGTTAGTAAATACGCAGAAGATGTTGGTGACAGAACTGAGTTTTTGGATGATGAAGCCGAAGCTCCAGATGACAAACGTGAAAATAAGTTAGGAATGGCACCTGAAGAAGTGGTTCGTCCTTTAAAAAAGCCAGATAAATCAACAGAAGAGAAGGCAGAAGCAATTTGCCCTGCGACCAAATGTGAAGAGGCAATACCTCCTAAAAAAGGCACAAATGAAACAGAAAAACAGAAGCCATCTTCACTGGTAGTAAAGCATCAAGCAAGAAAACGTCCTGCTGGTAAAGCCAAGGCTACAGTTGCCAAGGAATTATTGAAATCTAAAGTGGAAGTATCTAGGGAGAACATTCTTAATGAAACGGGGGATGAGGCAGAGATAGAAACCATGGAAGAAATGTCCCTTCCTGCTGATAAACATAACAACTCAGCCATTGCAAGAAAGAAGTCAGAGAACTTAGTTGAAGAAGATAAGGAGAATAGACCAATTGATGGACTGCAGGATTTAGTGGAGGGAAGAAGCGATGGTAATCCAACTAATAAATCTAATGTCATGCTGGCAAAAATCAAGTCTACTAAAGTGGGACTCAGATCTTCTATATCACAATCAAAGACGAGAGTAAAAACTGAAGCGACTTGTTTTATATTAAGCGGGCACCGCCTGCAGAGAAAAGAGTTTCAGCAAGTCATCAAGCGCTTAAAAGGAAGGGTTTGCCGGGATTCTTCTCATCAGTGGTCATATCAGGCGACACACTTCATAGCTGCAGACCCCATACGCAGGACCGAGAAATTTTGTGCTGCGGCTGCATCAGGAAGGTAAGGAATATCAGACAAACTAAAATAAAGTTCGTATAGCATGCGCTGCTTATACGGTTGTTGGAACGAAAGCAAGTCGGCAAGGAAAATTTTTGTTGTAATATCTTCTCTTGTATACATAGATCTTAGAATGGAGGTGTTACTATTCAATCTCCTCGGGGGCAGTGAACATCATTGAAAATTAAACGTCACTGATTAACCATTTTCTCTTTCCTTTCATATTGTCGGCACAACAATGTAGTTTGGCTTTCTTTGATTATGTATATAAATAAATGTTCAATCTTTGGTGGAATGCAGGTGGATTCTGAAAATGGATTACTTAACTGCCAGTAGTCAGGAAGGAAAATTCTTGGCGGAGGAGCCTTATGAGTGGCACAAGAATGGTCTCAGTGAAGATGGCGCAATCAATATGGAGGCTCCGAGAAAGTGGCGGCTATTAAAAGAAAAAACAGGTCATGGCGCCTTCTATGGAATGCGTATTGTTGTATACGGCGATTGCATTGCTCCGCCTTTGGTATGTTTTGTTTTGAATTTTTTTCGTTCACTGTTCTTTTATTATTTGCCAATACTGCACTAACTTTCATCTGAATTGCAACAGGCTATTGGGGGGTAGATGCTCTCTATTTTTATGCAATTTGTTGTTTATATAGTCATTAATGATGAATGAGTTTCCAACCATTTCAACTGCGTTTTATTGAAGATGACGTAGCTATATTTCTGATCAACGCCACTGTTTTTACAGGAAACTCTGAAACGTGTCATCAAAGCTGGCGATGGAACAATATTAGCAACTTCTCCTCCTTATACTCGCTTCCTGGGTACCGGAATCGACTATGCTGTAGTTAGCCCTGGCATGCCACGTGTTGATATGTGGGTCCAAGAGTTCTTAAAACATGAGATACCTTGTGTTGTAGCGGACTATTTGGTGGAGTATGTTTGCAAGGCCGGGTTCTCCTTGGAGAGACATGTATTATATGGCACTCATGCTTGGGCAGAGAGATCATTTGATGAACTTAAAAGCAGGGCAGAAGAGATTGATGAAGAACTCGATGCTCCTGATGCCTCTAGTGATGATGATGATGTAGTTTGCCAAGTGTGTGGATCCGGCGACAGAGGGGATGTAATGTTGATTTGTAGTGATGAAAGTGGTTCTTTGGGCTGTGGAGTGGGTACCCACATCGATTGCTGCGATCCTCCACTAACAGATGTCCCTGAGGAGGACTGGTTTTGTTCGAAATGCAGTACCACCCGAAACTCCGCAAACAATCCCATTAAAAAGAAAAAGAGTTTTTTATCTTCATCAATGACCAAGTGATTTTCTAGCATCGCGCAGTCATTGTTTAGGAAACTTGTCTGAATTTTGCCAACCTTTGGTCATTCCTTTCTAGTCTTCAGTTGTCGTCTACATAATAAAAGTAATGTACAATCCTTTGTAATTAACATATTAAAGCTTATTTCATTTCAAACATGTTTATGTAGCATTATTTATTGACTCAGGGTTGAATGCAAGAGGTTTCTAACCTGTCTGAAGTTCAGTATTTAAACAGTCATAGTCATTGATTATATCCATAAACATTAAAAAGATGATTAAGTGAAAGGACAAACTTGCTCTTTTCAACATAGAGAATATATGTTGGTGTGATAGATGAAAGTTTAATTATTTATACAATAATGTGATTTAGTATACATTAAAATTAATGTTAATAGTTTAAAAATTCTTATTATGTATTGGTTATAGATTGCGTTGTTATTATGAGTAAATTAAAATTATTAATTTTTGTTTATATACTATTTTACTATAAATCGGGTTAAAATAGATAACATTGTGACATTTTTAAAATGGACACTTAATTGAATAAAATAAATAATTAATAAGATTAAAGTAATATTAAACCAATATAAAATTATATAAATAAACATGTCACAAGATATATTTAAATAAATGTATTTTTTATGCATAAGAATATATTTTCAAAATATTTATGAATTTAGTTTGATTTAATTTAAAACTCTTATAATCTTTAATTTGTAGACTAATTATATTTATATTTTATATATATATATATATATATATATATATTCTGCAAATAAACTTATTAATTTTATACTATATTTTACAATATTTTAAATTAAATTTAACATAAAAATATCATATTTTTAAGTAGATGTCATACTTTCATTGTATTAATTAATATAATGATTAAAATATCTTGAAGGGTATAAAATGTTAAAAATAAAATAATATTATAGTTAAAATACGTAATATTAAAAAAGTGATTAAATAAACAAGATTTTGTTAAGGTACACTGCAAAATCATATTTAAACTATACATTCCAACAATTGTGTACATACATAATTAAAATGTTATTATATATCTTGACAAAATCTTGTACAGAAAATTCTCAATAGTTGTATCAAGACAAATTTTGGTCGATACATAGAATACAAACATACTTTTATTATATGTTTTGATAAAATATAATCAAAATATATAATGAAAATGTGTTTCTCGTTAAAATATACAAGGAAAATATGATGGACATACATCACAAAAACATAATTTTCTTGTAGAGAATCATATTTCAAATGCAAAGGATGTTTTCGTCAAAAGAAAAATTTCTAAAAGGGAAGGTGGTCTAATGACAATTTGCAGGTGCCAATAGCAATGACTACTAAATAACTCTTAAAATGTATTGGGCTTTTAAAACTTTTATGAATACATTACATAAATATTTTTTAAAGAAAGTACATGAGCAATAACAATAATAATAAGGTTCTTGATTTTTACATTCCATAATTTCTTCCAGCACATAATTAAATTAAATATCATTTTATCCTTATATTTATCATTCCAAAGAATATCATTTTATCCTTATATTTATCTTTATCTTTGGAATGCATTTTAAATTGAGTGTTTTAAAATATATTTCTAGAAAAATCAATCTGAAAATATATTCTAGGATATTTTGGAATATATTTTCAAAATTCAATCTAATTTTTGAGACACATTTCAAATTAAACAATTTGAATCTGTTTATGTAATAAGATATAATTCATACATAATATTAGCGATTACTTATTTTTAATTGTTTGAAAATGTTTTCAGTAAAGATGATAACACAAAAAATCAAATAATGAGGTACAAAAGTTATACACAAATAAAAAAAATAAGAAATTAAGGTAAAAAAAATTATAAAAAAGATATTTTAAGTATTTGATGGAGATGCATATTATTATTATGGTAACCCAGAATACAAGAGCATAATAATAATAATAAAGGAATACCCTACCTTTCCTATGAATAATTCCAAAAGCTTTGTCTGCTTACTTTTCCTTTCACTCTGAGTAAATAATAATTTGATGCTCATGGCACAACAATTCTGATCTTTATTGCTACCATAACAACTTTTCTCTGTGTAATGTTGGTCTGTGATTTGAGCCAAATCTATTTGTCTGGTGGATATTTAACAGGCTTCATTCTCTCTGCCTTTGATGCCACTAATAATTTCTAAATGAAGCTTCAATGCATGTGTGGTAGTGACCTATCTGTCCTTAGCAATGGAACAGATAACCATAAATATAGTCCTAAATGGAATCTAACTTCAACCATTGATAGGTCCCTTGGCATATAGGAGGGACATAAAAAACACTCACCATGTGTTGTTGTAAAGGAATATTGTTCCCTGCAAACTCAGATCTCAATAAAACTCATCACTTTTTTTTTTTTTTCTTTCCTTTCTAACTGCCAAAGAAATTCGATTCCCCATGTTTCGCACAAAAACAACACAATTTCCTCTTTTTACCTTTTAACGTTATTCTTTTTCAATTTTTTTATTCCTTTTTCATTTTTTTCCATCGTGTTGCTTGTTCATTTCATTGCAGATGCATTTCATTGCAGATTTTTTTAATTGTGATATATATATTGTTATAAGGAAAGAATGGATGAAAAGTAAAAATTGTATTGAATGTTAGGTAAAATACATCTTATATACAAGATAGCTTTACAGAAGTACATAACAGATTGTAACCAACTAATTAACAGAAACTAAACTGAATTTATATTCAATATCCCCCCTCAAGCTGCAGCATATATATCCTTAATGCTCAGCTTGGACAACAAAGATTGAAATTGTGATGGATGTAATGCTTTAGTGTGAATGTCTGCAAGCTGTGCTGAAGTAGGAATGGGTAAGAGCTTAATAACACCAGCTTGAATTTTATCCCTTATGAGATGACAATCAATTTCAATATGTTTTGTCCTCTCATGCATAGCTGGATTTTGTGCAATTTGTATGGTAGATCGATTATCACAAAACAAAGAAACTGGTTGTGGGAGAGACTGTTTCAAATCATGGAGCAAATACAGAAGCCATTGAATTTCACATGCTGTGGATGCTAAGGCTCTATATTCTGCTTCAGTTGATGATCTATATATAGTTCCTTGCTTCTTGGACTTCCAGCTGATTAAAGATGCACCATAGAACACATTAAAACCAGTTACAGACCTTCTAGTTTCAGGGCAAGTAGCCCAATCGGAATCACTAAAAGCCTTGAGTGTATGTTCTGTATTGGAGGGAAAAAACAATCCTTGTCCTGGACTGTTCTTCATGTATTTTAGAATCCTTATTGCTGCTACATAGTGATCTTCCAAAGGATTGGAAAGGAATTGGCTGAGTGTGTTGACAGCAAAACATAAATCTGGCCTTGTGTTGGTTAGATAGAGTAACCTTCCAAGTAGTCTTATATAGGCATGCACATCTGAATAAGGTTTCCCTTTTGTCTTGGAAATTTTGTTCCTGGCTTTATGGGAGTAGAAACAGGTTGACATCCCAACAATCCTCCATCTTCTAGTAACTCTAGGGCGTACTTCCTCTGTGACAAAGTAATGCCTTGTTGAGATCTGGCAATTTCTAAGCCAAGAAAATACTTGAGTTGGCCTAGGTCTTTAATCTTGAACTTTGCATTCAATAGAGCCTTCACATTTTGAATTTCCTGGATGTTATCACCTGCCAATACTATATCATCGACATAAACAAGTAAGATGGTGATATGAGCAGAATCACTTTTGACAAAAAGTGAATAATCTGATTTTGATTGTATATAGCCCAAAGAAAGTAAAGTAGTTGTCAATTTGTAATTCCATCGTCTAGAGACCTGTTTGAGTCCATATAAAGATTTCAATAATTTGCAAACTTGTCCTGGTTTTTCTGTCTTGTAGCCAAGAGGAAGAGACATGTACACTTCTTCATCTAGATCCCCATGTAAAAAGGCATTATTTACATCTAGTTGATGTAAATACCAATGCTTTGAAGCTGCTAAGGCCAAAACCAACCTTACTGTTGTGAGTTTGACAACAGGTGAAAAAGTTTCAAAGTAATCTAAGCCTTGTTGTTGTGTGTAGCCTTTGGCTACTAACCTTGCTTTGTATCTTTCAATGCTTCCATAAACTTGCCTCTTTATTTTGTATACCCATTTACACCCTATAGGTTGCTTTCCATATGGTAGATCAGTCAAAGCCCATGTTTTGGTACTTTCTAAAGCTGCAATTTCTTGATCCATGACATTCTTCCAACAATCATGTTTGATGGCTTGGTTATAGGTTTTAGGTTCACTGACTTGGGAAAGATTAAGGACATATGATTTATGAAGAGATGATAATGCATCATAAGAGAGATATGAAGAGATAGGGTACAAGGTACATGTAGATGACTGAGTGGCTGAAGAAGTAGATAACATGTTGCAATGATAGTCCTGTAGGTAAGATGGTTTATGTTTTGGCCTGGTTGATTTTCTTTGTGGAGTAGCAGTGATAGGTTCAGCAGAAACAGGTTGAGAAGAAAAAATAATAGGGTCTGGAACAACAGAAGGAGAAGATATAGGTGGTAAAGAGGGTTGATCAGTAACTTCTGAGAAAAGAGGTGATGGAGATGAAGTAATTTTGGTGACAAAATCCAAGGAATTTTGTGTATCAGTAGGGGAGTGCTTGTCATTAGTAAGAAAAGGAAACATGTTTTCATAAAATACTACATTCCTTGATAGAAAAATTTCCCTAGAGTTGAGATCCAACAAAAGGTAGCCTTTCACTCCTTTTTTAAAACCAAGTAAAACACATTTTCTTGCTCGATGTTGAAATTTTGTTCTTTGAGCTTGAAGAGTTGAAGCATAGCAAAGGGAGCCAAAAACTCTTAAGTAAGTAATGTCAGGTTTAATATTGTGTAACAGCTGAGATGGAGAAAAATATGCTAAAACTTTGGAAGGTAAAATATTAATGAGATGCACAGCATAACGAACAACAAAAGACCAGAAAATTATGGACAAATGGGATAGAAACATTAAAGATCTAGCAACATTGAGAATGTGTTGATGTTTTCTCTCAACAACCCCATTTTGTTGAGGTGTTTCAACACAAGATAATTGATGTTGTATCCCTTTTTGTCTATAAAATTCTGTCATTGCAAACTCATTACCATTATCTGATCTAACAACTTTTACATTAATGCCAAATTGTGTTTTTATATAAGAAATAAAGCCAATAAGTTGTGATCTGGTATCTGATTTACTTGCCATCAATTTAATCCATGTGTATCTAGACATATCATCCACTATGGTTAAGAAATATTTGAAACCATCAACAGAAGAAGTACCATAGGGACCCCAAATATCAACATGAATTAAATCAAAAGGAGTTTTTGAAACAGTAGTACTTGATGGAAAAGACAGTTTTCTTTGCTTAGAATAGTGACAAGTATCATAATGAGTGTATTTTATATCAGGTATAATATCATACATGTTTTGTAATTTGATGTAACAAGAAGAAGAAGGATGACCTAGTCTATGGTGCCAAATATCACTAGAGTTAGGTCTTATGGTTGAACAAGCAACAGAATTCACAGCTAGTGAAACAGAATTCATAGGTGCAGGAACTATCATGATATACAAGCCATCTCTTTCTTCAACTTTCCCAATCATCTGCAAGGTTAACATGTCCTGTATCACACATGAAAATTCAGAAATGTCAAGCTTACAAGATAGAGATTTAGTTAACTTTGTGACCGAAATAAGATTTACTGAAAAATTAGGAACAAACAGGACATTATGTAGAATAAGTTGCGGGCTAAGGGAAACTGTGCCAGAAAAATGAGCAAGTGAGGAATTCTTGTTGGGTAGTGATACTGTAATTGGTGTGATTCTATGATAAGAAGTAAAATGAGACAAAGAATTGGATATGTGATCAGTAGCACCCGTGTCTAGAATCCATTGAGAATGGATATTACCTTGAGCCTGAGAAGAAGTGGAAGCCATTATGAGAGCTCACTAGATTGGTAGAATGTGTGGTTGTGGGATTAGATTGAGGAAGAAGAGCCAATAGACCATGAATTTGTTCTTGAGAAAGTCCCAGAGTTGAGGAATTTGACTGTGCCTGAGAATTAGAAGAATGAACTGTTGCAGAAGAATCTATGGTAACATTGTGGACTCTTTTGGATTTGAAACCAATAGAAAATCCAGGTGGTAATCCATGTAGGAGAAAACAAGTATCAATGGTGTGGTTTGTCCTACCACAGTGAGTGAGTGCATTGCCGAGAAGCATCAAACCTTCCCCCTGATGAGCGAGTTTGAGACCCTTGATATGAAGGTTTTCCTCGGCCATAATCACTAGCGAGTGAGGGTTTTCCTCTGCCATTGGAGGTAGAAAGAAAAGGTTTATATTGAGAAACTTGTGCTGCCATGACTGAAGGTTCAGGGAGAATTCCTGATTGTAATTGTCGCTCATGTTGAATTATCATCGAAAAAATCTTGGTTAAAGAAGGCAAGGGATCCATGAAAAGGATCTGAGAGCGAACAACAGAGTAATTATCATTCAAGCCTCTAAGAAAACAAAGAACACAATCATTTTCACGATATTCCTTCATTGTCTTAGAAACAATACAACAAGAAGCAGGAGATTTGCACTCGGAATTGGGCGAAAATTGCAAAGTTCATCCCGGAGAATCTTCATCTTAGTGTAATATGCAGTAACACTTAGGTCGATTGATGTATCGAATAAAGATCTTGATGCAATTGTGAAATTCGAACAGTAATCACCTTGGGAAAAACGATCTTTGAGATCCTTCCATGCCACAGCTGCAGAGTCAATCCAGATAATACTTGTAGCAATCTCCTGAGAAACAGAGTGATTGATCCAAGATAAAACCAAATTATTGCAGCGCTTCCATGCTGGAACCATGGGATTTGTCGCAGCGGGACAAGGAATGGAACCATCGGCAAAGCCAAATTTATTCTTTATTTGCAGTGACATAGACATCGAGCGGGCCCATCAATGATAATTGTGACCTTCAAGAATCAGAGAAACAAGCACCAGTGATGGATTCTCGTTAGGGTGAATGTAATAGTCACGTGTTGTATCTTGCAAAGATGCGAGAGTAACAGAGGGAGCAGCCATAGAAGGAGAAGAAATTGCAAAGAAGCAAAGAACGTAGAGAAAAAAAAAACGGTCAGGGAAGCAGTAACATAATCAAACGTAGAGAAAGAAAAACAGTCAGGGAAGCAGTAACAGAATCAGTTGCGGAAGAACGTGATGAAGAATGATTTTCCTTCTGATACCATGTTATAAGGAAAGAATGGATGAAAAGTAAAAATTGTATTAAATGTTAGGTAAAATACATCTTATATACAAGATATCTTTACAATAGTACATAACAGATTGTAACCAACTAATTAACAGAAACTAAACTTAATTTATATTCAATATTTATTATTCCAATAAAAATGTGAAGAATTTATGGGATATTCATCCAGCACATTATGCCAATGCCACCAAATTTTGACAAGAGGCAGAGAAAAAGAGAGTATATAAATTCATGATTATCTGGATAGAGACGAAGGCACGTGATAGCAGCACGTGCTGCCTTTTTCAATGTTCCCTTCATTCAAACCTCTTCTATTTCTGTCTTTCTCTCGCTAAATCAGTGATTTGGTCTTAATTTAAATAAAATTAACTTCTTCTTTTTTAAGTTTAACTTCAGTGTCTATATATATTTATTAAAAAATTGTTCAAATAACCTTAAGATTAGTATAACTCAAATTCCATTACTTTAATTTCACATACTATTATATAAAACCAAAAACAACTTTCAAAAAATGATGTAGCTTATATTTCAAGACTTAGTTATATTTCTAGACTCTTTCTATTATGGATTTATTTTAATTAGACGATACAATTTCAAAAGAAAAAATATATATAAAGAAAAGGATTACACACAATGTCTTATGCAGATGCCTTCTGACTACATAATATAATAACTAAAGAAATGGTACCTTGTGAGGTGCACCATTTCTTTTTTCACAAATGTTATATGCTTCCAATGCGAATATTAAAGTATAATTATATAAAAATCATATAGTTAATTATTAGAAAAATAATAATATATTTTGGTGTACTTACACAAGTTTTCTATCATTTAGAAATCAAAATTAAAATAATTTATATACGCTATTATTTTTTATCTACTAATTTTAAAAATAAAATTACAATCATACTTTTAAAATAAATAATATATTTTAAAATAAATAATATATCAGATATGAAAATTTACCTTGTAATATATGATACAATTATATGATAATATTTATCATTATTATATTATATATGATAAATAATAGTATTTATTGGTTTTAATCCTTCAATAGGAATAATAGAAATAGTTAATTTTATTTAAAATGAAAGTATATAAAATATAAGAAAATTAAAAAAAAAACTAATAAGAAAATTTAAACATATGATTTATTTTTATATCAAAAGTAGTTTTTTTTGAAGATTTTGGTATCATCAAATATACTCTCTTATGTAATATATTATTATATAATATACTATTTACCATTATTATATTGTATGTGAGGATAATAGTGTCCATTCGTTTTAATCCTCAATATGAATAGGAATTCTGTAATTGTTAATTTTATTTAAATTAAAAATATGTAGAGCATAAAAAAACAAAATAAAAAAATAATACGAAATTTAAAAGATATGATTTATTTTTAATCAAAAGTAGTTCTTTTTAAGATTTTGGTATCATCAAATATACTCTCTTATGTAATATATTATTATATCATTAGAGAGAATAAAAAATTAAAATTAAAAAAGTATATTTTTGGAAAAAGATTTTACAATAGTAACAATGAACAAAGTTTGTCTTATTTCTCTATTTTTGTAATATATTTATAATTTACTTGTTTATTTATATTGGTTTTTGAATAGGTACATGTAAATACAACAAAATAAAATTGTTATGTCAAGTGTTGATATATAAGTGTTATATAATTACTTACATGATAAAAAAATATTTTTTATTAATTTTGAATTGATTATGATAAGTCAACATATATAAACTATTTGATACAGTGTTTTTAAATTTTTATTTTTAAGTTACGTATAAACTAATTTTTTTTTATATTATAGAATTTTTTTTTAAATCCATCCAAATAATGATTATACGTTATATCTTGAGGGAATTCGAAAGAAAAAGGGTGAAAATGGAATCATAACGTAAAATCTGATTAGCAAACAAATCCAACCAATTTTCAGTGTAGCCCAACAACAAAGGTGGGGTGTTAAATTCATGTCCAACAATTTAAACATCAACTCCACTGTGTGTAAATAGATTTGTTAAAACGTATAATAAGTTTATTTCAAGTAATTTATTAAACATTTTTGCAAATTGTGTTGAATATTTTGTTCCGATTTCTCTTTGTATTTTTCTGTATTGGAGTAATGTGTAGGAGGTGACCCATTGTTTTCCATAAACAAGAGTTGCTTAATTAAGAAACGGAATCTTAGTCACATCAGAAAATATAATCAACTCCAATCATGGCACACAGTTTGGCTGCGATACTTTTGCTTAATTGTAAAACTGGCTTAATGAATAGTTTGAGAAAGGAGTTGCATTTATCATCAAATTTGGCTACTCCAACTGTTGCTGATTTTGAAAGCTTTGTTTTCTCCCCTCATCTTGGAAATTCTTAGTGGCAAACACTTTGACCTCCTCGGTTGTCACATTTGTTGTTATTATCTGGGAGAATGATTTTCCCTCATATTTTTAAAGTTGGTGTGTATGTAAAATCAGGAAATTTGTACGTGAATAATGCATCCTTCAAGGTGGAAAATCAGAGAAGACAGTGTAATAATGCATCTCTTACACAGAAGAAGAAAAAATACACGAGCTTTTGCGTGTATCAGAAATCACGCCTCAAACAAAAGACAATTATTAGGCTTCCAAGGTTGAATTGAAAAGCCTTTTCATAGATTCCCCCACCCTAAACACTGTTACGTGTGTAATACTTAAAATATATATAAAAGAAAAAGGATAAAGATTGAACCAAAATTGATCGTAGTAGCAGTACGGAACACATGGGTAAAAGAGTTGCGATGGGAAGGTGAAAGTTGAAATGACGTTTCCTCTCTAATCCTTTTGTTTTCTTGTATTGAGTGCAGATTAGACGAGTTGCTTTTCTTGTTTGTGTGCACAACTGATTACAAAAACTCATCACTTTTTCCCTTCTGCACCACTTCATCATGACCTTCTTCACTTCCCTCCATTATTTTCACTCCAAAATGCATCTACATTATTTAACTTCATTACACCTTTTAATTATTATTAGAGTTGCATAATAAGTTAGTCAAACTTAATGATACTCCTAAATAAAGCGATCAAATTACAATTAGTATTAATAATAGAGTTATAACATTTTTCTTCAAAACAATATAATCAAAAGCAATTAAGGAGAAATGGTAGACATCTTAAATAAAAATAATTTTTTACTGAATAAAAAATAATCGCCTTAAAAAAAATATATTAATATTTTTATGAATATGAAGCGTAATTTTTATATCAGACCTTAAAAAGTTAATGTGAATGATTATCTGTATCGATCCATGTTATAACATACGTAAAATTACATGATTTTAACATAATTTAATGTACCTTTCATTTTTTATTTTTAAAACCTTTTACGTTTGTTTCTATTTTATTCGACATACATTAATAATAATAATAATCCACGTAAATTTATTTCTTTTATATTAAATGAGACTTATATATTATGTAAAATAAAAGTTAAAATATAAAAAATTCATTTTCCAGTAGTAGACGTGCAGAGAATCTTGAATAATTGCGGTGATATGACATATCAAACAATGCTATGTATTTTAACATAGAAATGAATCAAATAATACGGAGTCAAATACTTAAATAAGAGGTCAACCTAAATCTTAGCAAGACTTTCTGGTGGGAACGGTATAAGATGCATACATTTTAATATATCCTTTTAACATACTTTCTTTCTCATTAGTTAAAAATTATTGAAAATCATAAAACATGCTATAAGAATGACAAATAATATTTTAGGTTATTTAGTTTAGTATTAAAAAATATGTATTACTATTATTAATACTTACTGATTTTATTTAATATTATAATAAGAAACTAATAACAAAGATTCTGGATAATGGATTATGTATAATCAAACTCATGGGCGACTTTCTTCGGGGATCCCCCTTTTATTTTTTAGTTTTTACCACATATTTCTCCACTTTTCCTTCCTCTTTCTCTCCCTCACTTTCTCCTACAAGAGAGAGGACGTAAATTTGTTCATCCGGGAAGGTCAAGTCAACACATCACATGCATACTCATATACATTACGGATTAAATTGTATCACCCAAAACTTTAAAAAATCAAATAGAAATTCATAGTAAAAATAAAAGGTGACGGTTAAAAAAGTATTAATAGTTCACTTTACGGCTTTCAAAAATTTGAATTTTCCATTAAGAAAAAATATAAGTAATTTCTTTGAAGTAATAGCCTTATTCATTGCAACAATGCAATACATTTTAAAAGTTGGGAGGCTTTAAATCATTTAGTTTGGCGGCAGCAGTTCCAATTTTCAGAAGTAAACTTCCAAATTAATAGTAGCTTTGTACAACTAATAAATGAGAACATGAAAGTAATAATATAGAATAAAACAGTAAGAGAAAAAAATGTGACAAAATTTTCCAACTTATCCATCTGTACAAGAAGCGACGAAGCAGAGATTCTTGGATATTTTGTTCTTCCAATCAGCAGCTCAAGCCCTCGTACTTGACCGGAATGGAACGGTTGAATCCCGTTTGCGAAAGCAAGTTCCCAACCACTGCAATATCGCGGCAAAACACTCCCTGAAAAACCGCGGGATTCCCAGTGGAAGGAGACGAAACTGTGCACATTTTGTTTTCTAATTTCTCGGCTTTGGCCTGAGCTTCCAGAACCTTCTTCTTCCGCTGCTTCTCAACAACCTCCTCGTCCATGATGGCACCCATCACGTTGGTGTAACCCTTCTGAAGCAGCCTGTAGAGCAAGAGCGACGACATTCTCGCCCTCTCCTTAACAGAATCGAGGTCGCGTTCATCCGCCAGCTCGCACCGCTCGATGAAGCTCGTGGCCTTGTCGGGCTTGTGTTTCAGAGACAACAGCAAATGCGCTCTCTGTAACTCCGACCGACCACAGCCGCGCCGCAATCCGATGAGACCGTGGTAGTCCACGTTGGCGGTGTCTCCGGAAGCCACCCTCTGTTTCAGTTCCTGGATCTTGGTCGTGAGGGCGCAGAGTTTCCCAGGGATTTCTCTTGCGCGCACGTTTTGGCGCTTCCAGGCGGGGCCGGCGAGTTTGCGATCGCGCAAAATAGTGTTGTAGAGGAGTTTGAGGTGTTCAAGGTCGTGGAGGGAATCTGGGAAGCACCGAATTGATTCGAGGAGGGAGGCTCGAGTTTCCAGCGCTTGGATGCAGGTGGGATCCAGGGCAAGGGTTCTGTTACAATCGGCGATTGAATCGGCGATTCGGCCGGCGGAGCGGTGGGCGGAGGCTCTGTGCATGTAGCACTCGGCGAGGAAGTGCTGCGGGGCGCCACGACGCCCGTCCACGATTTTGGAGAAGTGGCGGATAGCTTCGGAGTGGAGGCCGGCTTCCAGAGCAGCGAGCGCGGCGGCTCGGCGCCGGAGGAGGAGCTTTATGTGGGCGAGGAGTTGGGTCACTGCTTCGGACTCCGGGAGTGGAGCGCGGGGTGGTGTTGTGTCACCGGAGAAGAGGGGGTTGGAGAGGGAAAAGCTATCGTCGGACCAGCACACGCTCTCGCGGCGGAACGCGGCGGAGGCTAGGCGCTTACCCGTTTGGAGAAGGACCATTGCATCTTCCATTAGGCCTAGGTGGCAGCATGCTTTACCCAGAACCAAGTATCTGATACAAAAATTGACAAGAAAAATGTAAAAAAAATTTAACTATTAAACTATTTTTTCATTTTTTAATTACTTAAAATACCATACATTAAATTGAAAATACAATAAGTAATTTTACACGCAGTCTTTGATAATAATAAAAAAGTTAATTACATAATTATAATAGAAAACATATTTTTATGGATGTAAGTATGAGTGCGTTTTAATACATAGGTTAATTATAAATAAACTACAATATTTAGTGACTTTTTAAATTCTATAACCATAAACATTTTAAATCATATTATCCGACTAGAGACAAAATTTAGATGGATGGAATACAACTAACAAGTACAATAATATATAAAATTATTATTTTGTATTCATACAGATATTTTTTTAACCTTCACAATCATTTTATTTGTAAATCAAAGAATGATACTTTTAACAAACTATGTCAATAATAAAAAAATGTTTTAAAAAGAGTGATTCGAAAATATATGATTTACATTTACCTGTAATTATTTTAAATACGAACAAGCATGAAACAGTAACTAATGAAGATAAAAACGATTAAACATGAAGAAAATAGAAATTAAAGAATAAAAATTTAAGAATAAAAGTGGAAGTGACTTACTTTAAAAAGATAAAACTCCCGGATAAGTGAAGTGTGAGAAGGATTTCACGCAAACATTTGAATATATTATATTAGTATATTTCCTGGGGTTTCCCCGTTGTTACGGTGCATTCAATTGAATCGGGGTTTTTAAAAGAGGGAGTTAGGAAACACTTCATTTAGTCAGGCAGCTGGCAGGAGCATTTACTCAGACCCCATCCCCATATGACATCTACTCACAACTCGATCTCATCCAAAACTCAACTCCAATACGAATAAACTCCATTTTAATTTTAACTTTAAATGCTGTCACAAAACAATTCATTTTGAATAAAAATATTAAAACCAGGCGCAGGTGGCAGACTGGAAAACCAATGCAAGCGAGACATAGTAAATACTATAGGAATGGCAAATGACGTAGTATTTAATTTAATTTCTTAAAAAATAAGTTAGAATGATGTGAAATACCTCCAATACCCTTCCTTGTCGCAACTTTTACACAGTCCTGCCATAACCTTCTTCTTCAAGTCAGAGACAGAGAAGCACTTGAAACTCTGATCCGAACCCGAGGATTCAGAGGAGAGAAGCTTCGCTCCCTCCCTAGAAAGCTGCTGCGACGAACTATCCGAAGAAGCGGAGTCATCGTTCGCCATTTTCAGGCTCGGAATGTAGTCCTGAAGCATATTCGCCACCTCTTTGAACCTCCGAAGACAGAGCAGAGACCTTGCTCTCAGCTCCAGCGCTTCGTCCAACCGCGGATAGATCGCGAGCGCCGCGTCGAGAAGGTTCAGCGCCGAAGCGATCTCGCTCTGTTCCTGCGTGGCCATCAGAGTGCGAGCGTCTCTGATGTATTTCTCAACAACCTACACTAACAGGAGAGATTGTAAAGAAGAACGCAGGTTTGGATCGACGGAGGGAAATAGAGATTTCTTAAAACGAAAGCGAAAGGCGGTGGAAGTTTCTTACCTTTCGGTTGGTGAGCCACCAGTGCTTTTTTTCTGTGGCATTGAGACAGGGAGTGGTCACGGCCATTGATGGTGGTGTGGCAGAAGAATCAACCCTGGACCGTCAAGATATCATACACCCTCTCCTCTGGTCCCTTTTCTTTCTTCTCCCACCTGTTAAGGTAGGAGTTTAATCTCTCTCACCGCACTTATAATAAAAGGAAGAGGAATATATAAAGGGAAGAAGAGAGTGTGAGAGAGAAAATGGGGGCAATGGACTAGTGACGAACAAACTAGGGATTCTATCAGCGTTATTCACATCTTTTACCTTATTTCTCTTTTTTTATTTTTATCTTCTTACGTTATTTATTATAATAATTACTTTTTATTTTTACTTTAATAAATGTATAGATCTAGCATTTAAACATACCTATCATGTCCAGTGTGAATTTAAAAAATGTGAACAAATAAACAACTGTATTTCTTTCTTTTTATCTGGCTTTTTTTTTAGTTTTATTTAACTTTATATACTAACGTCACAGCCTTACAGGTGTAAATACATAATAATTTCAAAGACTAATTAAATATATATATATATATATATATATATATATGATAACTATGCATTTTCATTGATTAAAATAATATTTTACTCAATTGCAAAAAAAGAAAAAATACCTTCAAAGAGATATTGACAACTTTGACCTTTGTGTAAGAGCTTTCATCCTTTAACGTCATAGCTGGCAACACACCACAGATTTAGATTCTCTCACATTACCAATATTGGGACCTTGTTGCAGGTTTATGACCCCAGCTTTATAACTTGCATTTTATTTTTTCTTGATCAAATATTATATTGTTAACTAGTATTTTTAGGATAGTGATTCAAATTTATCATGTAATTCTTTTACTATGAGTTATTTCAAATTTACGACAAATTGTCCCAAAGCAGATAGAAGCAACATCGGCTACTAACTAATATTACTCGTAGTTCTTTTTTTAAGTGTTCATTTTTTTCTGAATTCTTATTTCTATTAATTTATTATTTATAAATTTAATAATATATTAATTACATTTTTAGGTACTTTCTAATTTCTAAATAATTTACTTATATGTTTATTGTGTTGGATAGAAAGAGAAAGAAATAAAATAAAAATGTAACTATTTTATTAAAATTAAGAAAAATTATTAATTTCTAAAAAGCTTTTTTTTTAAAACAGAAAAAAGGAAGGAGTGATTTATTATCATCTTAAAACGTTCAGGTTGTTTGATAAACTGTTTTTGTTTTTCCTTCCTCTTTTGTCTAACAATGGTCATTATCAACCCAAATAACTCAACATGGTTTGATAATAGCAGAGAAAAAGTGGATAAATAGTATCTTTGCATGTGATATTGGAGTTTGATTAGTGAAATGAGCATTAGTTTGGAATTTTGCATGGTAAAGCAGATTGTGATGATGGAACTTTAGGTAAGAAACCTTGTCAATTAATAAATAATAACACGTTAACAATTAAGTTTGACAAGTAGGACTACTTTAATTTTCTTTTGGTGAGGTGATTATGTTGATTGTGCAACTTTTCAAGTTGCCGTAATCACCGAGAAAGAGGTTGTGCCGTGTTTTCACAAACGGATAGATATTTTTATAGGCATTTGCATTTTCATTTCAATCAAAGTTTGTACTTTAATTATGAGAATAAATTATAATGATCCTGTATTCATCTTAGCGTTTACTAGACACGTTTTTGTAAAATTCGCATCATCATAAATTTCTGTATTCGGATCACACGTGTCTTAAGTTATATGTATTTAAATGTTATATATTTATAGGTAATTTTGTTCGTGAATTATGAAAAAACTGAAAGTATTGAATTCATAGACATGCATGACAAACCACATCGTGCGAAAATTTTTAATAAGATCAATAGATATGGAATCTCAAAAAGATAAACAGAAACTAAATTAGAAGAATGAGGTGTGATATATTTGGAGTTATTTTAAGAGGAGTAGTATGCAGTGAAGCTTAACTTAGGGTTGAATCCTAGGCAATAAAAAAAAAAAAAAAAGACAAGCAAAGGTGTAGTTGAAGTGACAACCTAAGACTTTTCAAATGTTAAAATTGAAGTCCATAATGTATGTATGATATTGTGAAAGCAGATTGTATACGCAAGAAGTAGAGGGTGGTCTCGTAAGGCACGGGAATGATGGTAATTGTTTGAAGAGGGTTAGGTTTTGATTTGAAGCATATGATATTATTAATGAATGCACGTGAATGGGGATAACTAGCCAGATGGGTTTGTCTTAAAGGCTTCTCCAACTTTGTACACTTCCTTCCATCTCGGCCACTACCATTCGCCACGTCACCCTCTGATGCTACCCTGTCTCCACGTGGCGTTCCACCATTTCCACGGATAAGCCTCAGCTTTTCAACTCTACCCTCTAATGTTTTATCATTTTTTTTCATTATTATTATTATGATCATTAATATAATATTATTGGTTAATTTCCATAATAATGTGAAGTTATTAAACTAACTTTTACCTCTTCAAATGATAAAAGTGTTTAATAATGTAAGAAAATTAATCTTAGTATAAACAAATCATCCCAAATTTCCATCTTATTTACTTTTTTTCTTAATTTTTATCAAATAGATATTAGTTAAATATTTTAAAAAGTTAACATTTTTTATCATATCATAATTTTTTATTTAATACTTACAATTCTAGTTACAATACATTTATTAAAAAATTCATTAATTAACTAATTAGTATGTATTTTTTTATTGGATTTAATAATTTATTTAATTTTGTTAAGTAAATAAAGTGAAATTAATATTATTTATTAATTGATATTTACTAATTAAATAACTATAACAAATTAAATAATTTTAATTTATGAATTTTAATTAACAAATTTAAATAGCATAAATTTATTAAATTATATGTCTAAATAATTATACTAAAATAATTACAATTAATTTAATTTAAGTTTTAAAATAAATTAAAAATTGAAGAACAAAATAACAATGTCAGTGTGGATTGGGCTCCCCAACTAAATTCACTTTGTTAGAATGTTTGCACTTTGAGAAATTCATTTTATTGTTAAAAAGAATATATATATATATATATATATATATACACATACACGCTTTCTCAGATCTCAACAGCAAAAAATATATTGCATGATTTAATTTCTTATAGTATTTTAAAAATAGGACTGATGAAGTTTTAAATAGTCATCATTTCTTATTTTCCTATCACATCACATGCCACATTCTATATTATGATGGCATAATAAGGAAATATCATTTTGTTAATATGGAAATAATAAGAATAATTTTAGACATCGTTAATTTAATAACATATGAAATACAGGATACATGTGTTGTATTTATTTACATTAATATCTATTCTCACATTCATATTTTTATATGATGTTTTCTAACGTAGGCCAACGACACTACTACAGAATGATCATTCAACGTCGGTTATACAAGGCATTCAACGTCGGTTCCAATGACGTCGTTGATTCAGGCGTCGTTGAATGTCAAAGGATTCTACGTCGGTTCAAAATATCCGACGTTGAAAGTGATATATATCTACGTCGGGTAACCAAATGTCCGTCGTAGAAATTAGTAAATTCTACGTCGGTTATTAAACTAACCGACGTTGAAAGTCCTTTCTCGCTCAAGCGACCGGTGTACTCGCTTGAGCGACGAAGCCTTCAAACAAAGGGGACTCTCGGGTTCTGTATCGCTCAAGCGACCTCTGTATCACTCAAGCGACCGACGTTACAACGTCGGTTAATGCAATAACCGACGTAGAATATCCCTTTTTTTTTTTTAAATGTTGGTCTGTTTTAGTGCCACCAACACACGACCTGCTATAATCTCAGTCCAGACAGTATATTTATTTCAGATAATCACTAATATATAAAATGATAAATATATATGTCAAAATCAGCCAAATTATGTACAAAATACACAAAAAATTATCAATCAATCCTATTCCTAACTACTTGTACAAACTTTTCTGTCCATTTGTTTCTAACCATGTCTATAGTATCCATAGGCAAAGGTTCTATATCTTTAAATGCCTGTAAGAAGTTGACAATAATAGAATTAAACCCTAAGCAATAAAAATAAAGGAATTGAATATAATAGTAAATGTTAACTTACCTCATTCCAACTATCCTGAATGCTACCAAAAATGATGAGCCACATCCAATACATTACATAGTAGCCGCACTCGTATCCTCCATTTTGTTTGTTACACTAAAAATGACTAAATATGTTAAAAATAACTATTAAATTTGAACATAAATTAATATATAGTATAATATATATAAAGACTACTTACTTTGATAAAATTCCAATTTGGAGCTGTGCTTTTACTTGTGTGTTTTCCACCTAATGTACTACAAACCTTGATAGCACTATATATTGAAAAGAAGGGGGTTAGAAATAGAATAATCAAGATGTTTAGACATAATATAAGAAATACTTACTCGTTTACAATATTTTTTAGCTCCATGTCAGGTTTCCTTCCCAATGAGCGAGAACCAACACACAAGATTCTCGCTTTGGACAAATAACTAATAGCTGCCAAGTGGTTTCGTATATACACATGATTAGAATCTATTAAAAAAACTTGTGTAAAACCGGAAGAGGCTGGGATAACTTACGAATGATGGTATGCTCCAAGGTAAATATCTCTTTTAGAATCGATGATCCAATTCGCATGTAACCGAGAATTTGATCACGCTTATTCCAGCACTTTTGTATGGATTGAGGCTCGAAGAATCCATACACATGACCAATGCCCTGCTCCACTCGTAATTTCGTGCATCATCCTAAAATATGCCAATTTAAGTGAACTTATAGCTTATATGTTTACTAAAATGAAAAGAGTCATGAAAGATATGAACTTACAATGTCCAAAATTGTAAAACAGCCTATATTTAGACATTGATTGCCCATCCCAATCTCCAGGGCATCGAGTGTGGGAAATGTATAGGGGGATATTGCTAGAAGCCATCCCAAATAATGTACAATCCCATGGAACTTGGAATGACTCCAGATACAATTGTGGG